TTAATCTTTGGAGAAACTAACTGGAAAGCAGGCCTTTTGTAAATAAGCGCAATTCTAGCTCTCTGTTCCCAGTGGTACAATAGCCTTACGGCAATTTCTAAGTCATATTCTATTGTCTGAATTGGTATTTTAAGACTACAACAAGTATTTATTAAGCATCTAATAGGAGCCAGGCATTGAGTACTCAATAAACAGTTCTTGCTTCTGGGCATTTATAAAATCGGATAAAAACAGATAGTAAACAGTTAAATACTAATAATTACAATGTGCAGTTACTACAAAGAAATGCATTAACTGGAGTAACCAACCTAGCCCAAGGTGATGGGTGATTAAAGGAAGTTTGCCTAGGTAGGTACTTGAAAGCTCACCCCAGAAAGATGAGGAACCAAGGGGAAAGAGATTGGATACAGTATTTCCATTAACTACCAACTATCAAGCAGTCATGCCACGGTCTTGACATACACAAAAGCATTGGTGGGCTAAGGGACAAGAACTGATGCTTCCTAAATCGTCCCTTCAAAAATGAACAAGAAAACTCATGAGGTTTGTTTTTACCCTTCTTTGATCTGCAAGACAGAGATTATTTTTAACAAGACTTATGATAGAAGAATCAATATATGAGACACAAAACACCTCTCATTTATTTAATAGGACCAATGAAATCTTCAGAAAATCATTTAGTCTTTTCCTCAGCTAGTTCATGGTAATATACACCAAGAAAATATATTAACAATTGTGACATTAATTTGCACAAGCTTTCCTTGTTTCACATTTTTGCACACAAATGTTTTGGGTTTTTTTAAATCATTTTATTGGGGGCTTGTACAACTCTTATCACAATCCACACATGCATCCCTTGTGTCAAACACATTCGTTGCCATCATCTCAAAACTTTTTCTTTCTACTTGAGTCCTTGGTATCAGCTCATTTTTTCCCCCTTGATAATTTATAAATTATTTTTATTTTTTTCATGTCTTACACTGTTGGATGTCTCCCTTCACCCACTTGTCTGTTGTCCACCTCTCAGATTTTTAACATGGTGTAGCTCTTAGAATATTAATTTTTCCTAAACCAACCTTTATTACCCTAAAACATTATTCTTAAAACTTCTAACCTAATTTTTTAAGAACCCTGGTTTAAATGATTATATTCTACTGTCTCCCCTTATTTTCTCTAGGTCTTGTTTATTCTAGAGCCCTTAAACCTAAGAATTTGCGATTGCATCCCTATCAAATAACATATTAGAAAGAAAAAACAAGGCCTGTCTAGATAGGACAGGCTGGATGAACAATCTGGAGGAGAAAACAACGGGACTGACAGTTCCGGGGGGACATGGGAGAGGGGGAGG